AAGTGAAGGTTGTAGAACAAGGTTAAAAAAAGAGGATATTTGTGATAGTACAAGTTTCTTGTATTTAATAAGTTGAAAAAAGTTTTCAATTTTGTTGTTAATCATGTCTATAGTAGGTTTAGTTGTACCATTTTTATCATAATATATTCCAAGATATCTAATTATATCTTTAGGTTTTCTTGGTATAATTGGTTGATTGTTAAAAAATAATAGAAAAAAGGATATGTTGCAAGATTTTGGATATATATATAGTAGGTCTAATTTATTTGGGTTGATTTTAATATTATTAAGTTAATATAATAGAGATGTATTATTAAAAATATTTTGTAAAATTTGTGAATCTTCACAGTACCATATTGTGTTATCTATGAAGATAAGAGAAGGTATAATAATAAATGTAGGATTGTTATTTTGTATAAGATCTTTTGATGATAATAAGGATATATGGAGTAAATAATTATAATATTTTTATAAAATAAAGAATAGAATAGGATCATAGTATATTTTCTATAATAATAAAGAGTATGTTTCTTCTTGTTCTATACCAGATTTTAGATGAACTAAATTTGAGAGTCTATAAGCTGTAATGACTTTTGCAGTTCAGTTTGTATATAGTTCTGTGATTAGATCTATTTCTTTTTTTGAAATGCCAATTCTTTTACAAGTGTTCTGAAGTTAGAAGATATTAATTTTGTCAAATGCTTTTAATATATCTTAAAAAAGAATTCAGACTTCTTTATTATGAAGGTTGTAGTATTTAATTGTGTTGTGAAAAATTTGAATAAAAATATAAATAGATGAGTTTTTGGTTGCAGCAAAATTGAGATCTGAAAGAAGGTTATTAGAAGAGATAATTTTGTTTAAGCATTGAATAAAGATTTTTGTAAGGGTTTTTTTAAAGAGTTTGATGATAGATATTAACAAACTTAATTAAGAATAAAATCCCAGTTAGACTTTTTTGGAATTAGAAAAAAATTTGAAGATTTCTTGGCAATAGATACTTTTTGTAGTTGAAGGCATTTGTTTATAAATTGTTGAAAAAGTTTTTGGAATTGAGAGCTAGTATATTTGATGTGTTTATAATAAATCTCAGAAAGACCTGTAGCTTTTTGATTTGGTAAATTAGTAATAATATTATTTCATTTTTGGTCTGTTATTTTTTGGAAAAGGTTTCAATAATGAATTTCAAGTTCAGAGTATGGTTAATATAGTTCATAAAATTCAGAAAATGAAGAAATTGGAGATAAGGATTTTTTCATTAAAGTATTTGATAAAGTGTTATTAAATTGCAGAGCAGATTTCATTATAATTAGTGAAGAGTGTATTATTTAGTAATAGCTAATCTATATGTAAGCTATATTGTTTTTGAGAATTTTTTTGTAGAAGAGTTTAGAAAAGTTTGTGTAAAGTTGGTTATGTTTTTTTATTTTTTGTTTAATATCCTTGTAAATTATTTGTTGTTAATGATAGTTAAAAGCAATTTTAACTTAGATAAATTTATTTTTAATTTAATCAAAAGAAGGTAATACTGTTTGCAAAGAATTGTTGAGATAGTTTGATCAGTATTTTTAAAATAAAGAGTAATAGTTTAAAGAGTTTAAATGGTTTTTTAAATATTGAATTTGTCTGTATTGATAGAATAGAGGTAGTAGTTTAGGAGAAGAGTTGTTATTAATTTTAGACATAGTTTTGATATTTTTAAAGGAGATATGTTTTGTTGCAGTTTTGGTTAAGACTTTGTTAATTTTGTTCTATACAAGATTAAGTTGGTTTTGATTAGTTATAGAAGTAATCTAAAAAACAATTAGTAATATATTACAAGTAGTTTGGTTTGTATAATTTTTCAAAATTTCTTTAGTAGTATTTTTTAAAAAAAACATCTTCTTTTTTGTTGTTTAGTTGGTTTTAGTTTGTTAAGAATAAAGATATTTCAATTGTAATTAAATAATGATCTGAATCTAGTTAATGTGTAGTAATTATATCTATATAATCAATATTTGTTAAAGATAAATTAGACCAGATTTGGTCAATTCTACTTTGTATATTTGATTGTTGAAATATGTAATTTTTGGTATCAAGAAAGAAAAATTGATAAAGGTTTTTATATTGGTGACTAATTGGAAATTTAGTTAATTGTAGTTCAGAAATTGAGGTTTTTTTGAGAGGTAGTTGATCAATATAAGGGTTTGGAACACTATTAAAGTCTCTCATGATTATTATTTTGTAATTTGGATTTTGTAACAAGGAAATAATATATTTTTGAACATCTTTGTAAAGTTATTTCTTTTTAGCTATAGAAATGTAAATTTGAAGTAATCTTAGTGAAAGATTTTTGAGATGTAAATCAAGTCCAACAACATGTTCTTTATAGTTATGAGTGTAAGCAATGTATTTGAAGATGTTTTTGTAAATAAAAATACTAACTTCTGCTTGGTGTGTATTTAAATAAGAGCACTAAACACTTGTATAATTTTTAGTTTAGATATTAAGAAATTTTCTAGTTTTATTTAATAAATATGTTTCAAATATACCTAGTATATTGAAAGAGTTGTTATTTAAAAAATCTATTAAGAAAAGTTTTTTTGAAAGTTGGATCAAATGATTGATATTTATAGAGCCTATTTTAATTGAAATTAAGATGTAATCGATATTAATAATATTGCAGTTAGAGGTATTATTTGCAGTAGTATTTGTATTCTATAAGAAAAAGATGTTAGTATTAAATGTATAAGAGTTAAAATTTGTATTAGAATTTGAGTTTTCTAAAATTAAAGTGTTGTCATCTTTTTGTGTTGATAAAATAAATAGTTTAGTAGTAAGAAAAATATTATTTAACAGAAATTTTTGATATTCTAAAGAAGAGAATATTGTAAATATTGTTGTTAGGTAATTTGTTTTAAGTAGAATACTTTGAAAGTTTAAGAATTCTTTAAAAGGAATGTATGAGTAGTTTGATAATAATGTTTCTTGTAGAATATGAATATATGCTTCTATATAAATATTGTTAATTGTTTTAATAAATATTTTAATGTATTGTTCTAAGTAATATGTTAGATATTTTTTTTGAATAAATTTTAGAAAGGATCCTATTGATTGTAAAAATAATAAAAGTTGAAGATTGTATAAGAATAGAAATTTGTTGAAGCATGTTAAGAAATTATATATTTTGAGTAAATTAGGAATATAAGTTAAGATTTTCTTTTTTAATAGTATTTATTGTTGGTAAATCAAGAGAGTCATTATCTGATAATGATTTGTAGTTGTTATTAGTAGTATTTAGGTTTGTTAGTTGTTAAATAGATGATAAAGTGCTAATAAATATAATTAGTATATAGGAATATGTAAATGTAGTAGATAATATATTATTTTTGATAGAGTTTTCAGAAAGATATGATGTATTGGTATCTGAGAAGTTAGGGGTTCCTTCTATAGAAGTGCTCACTATATACTCGGTTTTTATAGTTGCAGAAGATACTATAATCTGCTCTGTATGTTGGTCCTAACTGTTATTAATTTAGTTCTTTATATAAATATAATAATATTTAAAAACAAATTATTTTTTACAATATTTATTTTTAAATTAAAATAAAAAAATTAAATTACTTAATTGAATATATATTACTTTGTTTACTTGTTTATTTACTAATTTTATATAATTGTTTACTTTGTAATTTGTTTATGCATTGATCAATCAACATTATAAGGTTATAGTTATATTTTAGATTTTCTGAAAATTTTCTAAAAATTTTGAATAAACTTTTTTGTACTTTGAATAAATAGCTTTTCTTAGAAGTTGTTTTATTAAACTATAATTGTTTTTGTTTTTTTTTGTTTTTTCTAATAATACAAAACCTGTTTATTTAAGTAACTTTTGAGCAGACTAAAATGTATTAATTTTTAACTTTATAACTTAAAGATTAGCAAAAAGAATAAAAATGTAAAAAGCTGTTATTTTTAAATTATAAATATAATTGCTTAAGCCTTATTTATTTATTTATTTATTATTTATTTATTTGATTTTTTTTTTATATTTTTATATTTTTATTTTTATTTTTATTTTATTTTTATTTTATTTTATTTTTATTTTTATTTTATTTTTATTTTATTTTATTTTATTTTATTTTTATTTTATTTTATTTTTTTTTATTTTATTTTATTTTTTTTATTTTTATTTTTTTTTATTTTTATTTTTATTTTATTCTTTTTTATTTGTATTTTTATTTTTATTTATTTTTATTTTTTTTATTTTTATTTTTTATTATTTTTTATTTTTTTGAGAATGATAATTTGAAAAAAAATTTCAAGCAGTGCTTGTAAAGGACCTTCATCAATGCTTTTCTACTTTTAAAACCAGGTTTATGATATGAAAAGTAATAAAAATGTGAATAATTAAAATAAAATTTTTGTAAAGTTCACATTATTAATTTTTTTACTCAAAATCATGTTTAATAATAAAAAAAAAAAGGTGTGAAAGAGATATTAAATGATTATTATGTTATCTAAGGGTGCGATTTCACATTTGTAGCTGTGATACTGCATATAATATACTTAAATTTTAGCTTAAGAAAGAAAAAAAAGAAGCTTAAGAAAATTGAAGACAGGTGCAAAAACAGATTATAAAAAATTTAAATGTATGCTTAATGGGTTAAGAGATAGCTTATGATATTGCAACCAATTATAGTCAATTTGATAATCTGAATTGACAATCAATCAAACCAAATTTCTGTCATACTGATATAATGTAACAAACATATATAAGAAGTTTATATGACCAATAAGCCACATTATAAGGTTAGAATAAATGTAACAAAACTTCACAACATTCTTAATTAGATTACAGAAGTAGTTTCTAATTAAAAAATTTAGAGCTATTTTTTTTTTGTAAAAAATTAGGTTTATTTCAATTTTTTGTTACATTTGAAATAATTTTAGCAGCTAAAAATAATTATGACAATATTATTATTTATTATTTTTAGTTATTTTTTGTATAATAATACATGTTAACAAGGGTCAACAGATTGAAAAGAAAGGGAAGAACTGTTAGAAGTTACTCTATATGCTACAACTCATGTTCTCAAATTACAAGGTTAATGGCAGAGATCAAGATCAAAGAACAAATCAATTAATAATCAATTAATTAAATTGCATAAATTAATATACAATCAGAAATATGTAATTAAATAAGCTACCAACCACAATCGATATATAAACAACTAACAAAGAAAAATTAATATTAACATTCTTTTCTACTTTAATATAATAGTTTTCAGCAAACAAATTTCTTGATTATCCAAAAAAAAAAAAAAAGAAAACACAAAAAAAAAATAAAAAAAAAATAGATAAATACATACAGAATAAAACAACAGCAAAAAAAAAGAAAAAAAGTGAAATTAGCAATTTATATATACTTACCTTATTGCTAAATTATAAGCAACATGAAGCCAAACCTATGTGACAATGACAAGGAACTGCACATGACTCTATAACAGTTTCAACTACATTAACATTGGCTACCACATTGAACAACTCAAGACCAAAAGTGCACATTGATTTTTAATAAAGGTATACATTAATGAGTCAATCTGTTTATCGATCACATCAATCATCAGATCCTTCAAGCAATATATCAATTTCCAGTTTGACAAACAGAGACTGTGAAATAAACAACTTCAAGTAAACATCAACAATATATTAGTTTAAGTAATATGAGCTAGTGCCAACACTAAAACTACAGCATCACACAGCAGTGTAATACCAACAGAGCATATAATACCATAATAGCAGTTATAGAAACTAGTCAACTCTGTTAGCATTCTACTAACTAGCAAAGAAAAAGAAACAGCTCAATCTATTAGTAAGTATTCTCCAACTTCTATACTAAATAATCTTATTATGAGAGCATTCAGAGTTATCCTTTAAGGCCAGGACACCACAACACTACCAAGCATGCACCTAGCTGCAATATCTACAAACTTGTACCTATTTAAATCGATATCATGAAAATATCCATCTTTTAATTATGAAAAATTTAAAAGAATTCATGATATTTATGGGTTCTCTAACACCCAGGTAGCAAAAACTGAAAGCATACAAATCTGGTGAGTTATGAATTAGTCAGATAGCCAGAAGATGATCAAAACTCTTCTCTTCAAATATAATATTTTATCCAAATTATAGAAAGCAGTTGTAAATTATGTCTTAGGCACAATTTTCATGCTGTAATGTTCTATAATGAAGATTGCAGAGTAATGTTGGTTATGAATTGGAACTCAACTCTTTTAGACTGTAAAACTGAAATTGAGTGTAGAAACTTTGATATAACCATAGCAAAAAAACACAAGTACAATACATACTGAACTATACATCTTGATATGGAATGGCATGATGAAAGAAAGATATGCATCAATTAGAACAAACACTATTGTACAGATAAGAAAGCTTGTAGAAGAGTTCATGCCTGTCTAATTTGCAAAAAGACAAACCATAATAAGCAAAGATGCTTTAAAAGAAATAGTCAGAAAAAAAGCAATCTACTTGATAGTAGCAAAACAGACAAAAACACATAACAATAAACCACTTGTATTATGCATAAGATTAACAATGATCTCATGCACAATGACTAATCTATGCACATGCAAACAAACATTATAGTACACCTTAAACAATAATAGCAATATCATTAAAGCAGGATATAAAGGAGAAAAGCAATAATAATAAAGATGATAACTATAATAATAACAATAATAACATAATAAAAAAAAAGTATTACAGCTTCTAAAAAAAAAATCTTTTCCACAAGTGCAGAACTAAAGTATAGCTAGTGTATTATGTATTGTTTCTACTTAATATATATATATATATATATATATATTTTTTTTTTTTTTTTTTTTTTTTTTAACTTTGGTGACAATGCCAGTCGGTTTTTATTAGCTTTACTTTGATATAATACAAATTTATAGTTACATTTTTAGGATCGATTATTACTAGTAATATATATTATCTAATTTAACACTACTGACTTCATCCAGTTACCCTTATAGCACCTAAGTGCATGTCTACCACATGCCTATATGCAGTTACCTTGGCAACCACTTGTGGTTATGGCACACATTAAACTGTTACACAGACAAAGATATCTACTGAACTTAATATGGCATCCCAAATGCCAGAAGTACTGTCTTCTGTAAATTGTATCCATATGTCCTACTCACATGTTTTACCTGGTCTTGTTTCTTCTGCCTTTTAATCTAATTATATCTAGTATTATCTTGTTCCCCACATTTCCCATCTTTTTATTACTATATCACTCCCAAATTGATCCTACTCAGGTATGTCTGATCCTTATGATCTTCTTATTTTTAGTTTACCTATTATTGATTTCCCTAAGATATTCTGATAATGGTCCAGGATCTGTAATGAACCTATATCTCAAGTCAGATTTGCTACTACTATTGGTCTTTTGACTAATCTGTATCTCAAGCTAAACCTGCTAGTGCCATTTTTGCAGATGTTCCAGGTCTTAATGTCATACAGTAAATCGATGCTACATTTAATCTCCAACATGATGCTTCCTTTTATGATAGAAACTGGAACTTGTTGTACTTACAAACAGGACAATTCTGATTATACCTAGAGAATTCCTCTAATCTTAGTGATACTATATTACCATATATTGCAAGCTTTCAGCTTATTCAACAATACCTACAAGACAATTCTGGTTATGTCCAGAGAATTACACCAACTTTAGTGATGCCATACTACCTTGCAGATCTTATCTCACATTAGTTAGTTGATCTTTAGTCTTGTTTGTCATAGACTTCTATCTAGGTATGATCAGAACCTGATTTGGTACTTTTACATTGCACAAGGAAGTTATACGCCTATTTCCAAGATATTCCCTTCTATAATTAGATTATTCAGCTATGCCAGAGGTGCTTCCAACTTTGGTTAGACCAATTTTTTATTACAGTTTGTTCTTATGTTCATTGCTTCTCTTACTATTCCAGTCTTGGTTACTTGTCAGACTACTCTTCGAATCAAATCCTCTTCTTGAATCCCAATTAAGACTTATTTGCACAATTCGTTGATTATCCTTCCAAGCAAGTACCTCATAAGTTGAATGCAGAGATGTTGGTACTGCTTATATTGGGAGGTATAAGAATGTTGGTGTTGACCTAGTCTAAAGAACTTACATGTGTAATCCTTCCATAACTGTAACCTTCTGTAACAATCACTTGTTACACATAGTGCCTACACTCCACAATTGGATCTCTTTCTGAGAATTTCTATTTCCATCATTGTACTGCACTTGGACTTTTAACCACAGGACTTCATGTTCAATTACAGGTTCCTTATTAGATTACAGAAACTAAAATCTTTCAATTTTGCCTTCAGCCAGACTTGAACTGTTGATCTTGACTGTGGAGAGTATGGAAACTTAACTACTAAGCTATAGGACCCACACCCTTAATATATATATAAATAAATAAACTATAGCTTTAATCATTATATATACAGAATACTGAATGAAATACTGTATATTCATATAATAGTATTGCTAACCATCCCAATTTTCACAGACTTCAAAGCTGTGTCGATCTTTAAACATTTTGCATAATATAAAGCAACCTAAGGAATTACTATGTTCAAGACTTCAACACTTCAATCAGTTAATTATATATTTACTGCTACTTTTCCATGCAGTATGCTACTGAGATCGAAATTTACAAACAACTTGATCCACACATTTTTAGTATTTTCATCCTAGTCAATATTAAGATGTTCACATATCTTACAAACAATTACCCTAACCAACTATTTATAGCTTATCTACTTAAAGGTCTTAAAAATGGATTTAGATTTAACTTTTCAAACCTAAGAACAAAACTTATTCAAAAGAATCTAAAGATAATAAAAATTGATCCTTCATTATTCGCAAAATATATTCAGGATAAACTTGCATAAGGACGAATGTGTGACCTCTTCTCTGAACACCAGCCATCATGCCAGTTCTTAAGTAAATCTCTGTAACTTAGTAGACAAGAAGAATACAAACCCAAGAACATATCACATAATATCACATCTCTTAGCTCCTTTCAGAGCAAGCATAAATGATGATATAGACAAAATTGAATTTGACACACAATATGAAAACATAAGTCATATAATTAGATGGATTACACACTATAAACAAAGATGTTTTTTGTCAAAAATTAACATAAAAGATGCCTACAGAATTTTACCAGTACACCTAGTAGACCAGGTACTTCAAGGCATTGCATTCAAAAAACAAATATACTTTAACAAAGTTCTAGCCTTCAGCAACTGAACCTCAGATAACATATTCTGTAGGTTTGCTGATACTTTTATCTAAATTGCTATACAGCAAGAAATAAAGTCAATAATCTATTACATTAATGATTTTCTTATCATATCAAAAGCAAATGCACAAGATGAGCTAAGTCAATTTTTTCATATACTCAGCATTCTAAATATATCACACAAACCATTAAAGCTTGAAGGACCAGACACCTCTATCATGTTTTTTGGCATTTACCTTAACACAGAGTTATTTATAACTATAATTCCTGACAACAAAAGATCTAAATTAATTAATATGCTAAAACAATAGGATAACAAACACTGATGTTTTAGAAAAGAGTTACAATCATTAATCAGATCACTAATATAGGTATGTCAAGTTCTTTCACAAGGATGCCCTTTGATACAATGCTTCATCAAAGCCTTAAGTATAGTAACCAGCCTCAAGTTCCAAATAAAATTAAACAGCTCTATGAAGTCAGATGTGAAATGGTAAGTTACAATACTACCAAGATGGCTTGGAATTCATCTGCTAGAAGATTAGCAATGGCTTAGTCCAGTCACACAGAATCTTTTTACTAATACATCCAACTTAGGTGGAGGCATGACATTCAGGTCTTATTTTACTGTCTTCAACTGATCCAGAGAAATGAACTTATCTCAGCACAATATACAAAAGCAAGAGCTCTTAACTACACTCATCACAATACTAACATTCTCTCCAATATGGACTCAAAAACGATTTGTTATCTGGTCAGACAACCAGGCAAATATAGAAGCTGTTTACTCTGGCTTTTGCAAACACTCCGCAATCAATGAGATAGTAGCAGAGATATATCAAGCACAAATACTCAGAAACTTTTCAATCAAGATGGAATATATACTAAGAAAAGCAAATTTAAAGGCAAACCTTCTCTCATAGAACAGCCATAAACAATTTTTGAGCACAAACCTGACCTCACATTATCTTCAACCCATAATTCCATCCAAATATACTAACCTTATATCAACAATTCCATCTCTGTTTTAATAGATAATCATGAAAAACGTTATTACACCAATGACAAAATAGGCAAGTAATACAAACTAACAATCATGAAAACAAATCCAACTCAACTACTCAATCAACAAGCTGCCTTAATATTGGGCACAGAGACAAGAACAAACAAAACATACGAATCAATAGTAAAACAATATGAAACAATTGCAAACATGAACCAGTAGGT